GAGAATTGTTATATATTTACAAGGTTCTCGACTAACAACCATTATTTAATATTATTGGATACATCAATGAATATTTCAGGATTCCTCGCCATTTTCTGCGATAAATTATAAATTTTGTACAAATAAATGATCCGGTTACAAGGTCGCGATGCAAGATGTATGTATACACAAGTTTTTCCTTCCGCCTACTGCGACATCTGTATAATGTTTTAAAGAACTGTATCAATATATTCATCTGTCCGTACAAAGCACCTTGTCAAAAGCGTACAGTGTATCTTATCTAAGTGTCAACTGACAAAATCTTGCAAAAAAAAAAAAAAAAAAAAAAAAAAAAAAAAAAGGACAGGTTTCATTCAGCGACTTAAATCAATATACAAAGCACAGTTGCACGGATTGTTGCATCCAGTGAATCTTGTGTACATTTGCATCACAGATATAGTTCTTAAGAATAAATTCCTGTCTCTAAATCTACACAGTTGATTATAATCCTAGGTAAATTGGGCTTTATTATTCATTTCAATGCAAAACGAGAAAGGGGCTTCATATGCAGGTGTCCGCTTCGAATTCCTAATATTCTTAAATAGTGCATGGGTACTATAGCATTTACAAAAGCTCCTCCTCCTCGCACTATTAGTTGGTGAAGTTTTGAATTATATGCATGGGTTCGAAATTTAGACGGGTCTGCATGTGTAAATAAGTTTTTTTCTTTTAGAACCTTCCGAGTCGATACCTAATTTTTGATGTTGAATCTCACGTGTTTAACATTAATAGATTTTCTGCAAGCTTTCTTACCAGAAAAGTAAGCAGAATCGTTTATTCAAAGATTAACCGCCTGGTTAACTTGGTACTATTGCGCACGACAGTGCAAGATAATAAAAATAACCCTTATTCTGGGCTTTCAGTATTTAGGTTACTGTTTTGTACAAATTAGGCCCTACTGATTACTGTTTTCAATACACTATTGCTGTACGTATGTAAAGCTCAAATCAGATTGCATTTAAATTAGCATGTTACTGTGCTCTAAATTTCTTTTATTATTATAGTATTTCATTGGGAGTAAAAATCCAAAAAATGAAATCTACAGTGATCCAACTCTACTTTTGGTGTTGAGAAATATGCGTTTATTTCATATATAAATTTATGAAAAATAGAAAGATATTGCATATCTTCACAATTTATAATGATAGGACAAATATATTATATAAATATATAATAACACTTAATTGCCTTTGGTCTTGCGGAGGTTTAAACAAGTTACATATAACCTCACAGACAGCTATCCTTCAGATATTAGCTATACAACAAGTTACATACAACCTCACAGGCAGCTTAGCCTTCTGATATTGGCTATACAGACAGCTGTTAAGTGGAAATAATGTTTGGAATCTTCATCTTTATCTAAGATCGTGAATAAACAATTTTAAAAAACATATGGTTTTCTTCTATATTCCCCGATGTGATCATTACTTTTACAAGTTCTTAACATACCATTCCGTCCAAAAATATAGAAATGATTGTCATCCTCATTTCTTGGAAATGTGCAGTCATTTAAAACATGGCCCTCTGATCACGCTTTTACATTGATTTAAATTATTAATTTAACACATGCATTCAGGCAATGAATAAAATTATTTCATGATAATGCATAGCGTACAAGATTCAGAATTTCATTTCGGATTGCATATTTTATAAACCAGGAAAATTATACCTATGGACTATTTTTTTTTTTTTGTATGAAAGTATATAACCTGCACCATTCCAATTTTATCTTGACCGTCACGGTAGCTCAGTCGGTAGAGCGTTCGCTCCGTGATCGGAAGGTCGTGTGTTCGAATCACGGCCGCGACTGACCTAAGTCGATAAAAAATAGGTACATGTAGCGACTGTTCCTTCGCCAAGCGCTCGGCAGTTTTAATTGAAAGTTGCGGGTCCTTCGGATGAGACCTTGAAAACCGAGGCCTCGTATCACGGTAGGCGTTGAAGAACCCACACACTCAATGGCCCTACGTGCCGAGTAAAGGTCTAAATCTGAAGCCCTTCAACGGTCTCTATATGAGTGAAAAATTCTCGAAAGGCACGTAAAACAACGTACAAACAATCAATCAATAAAAATACTATCTTAATAATTACATTCGGATATTATTTCATCTTCCGTATAGGGCAATTACATGCATCTGTGTGAAAAGGGAACTGAGAAATTAATGTTAGAATAGTGACCTCGGTTTTGACAAACGGCCTAGAAATTTTTTTGTCAACAATTGAGGTCTACACTATGTACCTCTTATATTATTAATGTATCATTATAAATCATAAAAGACTGATGATTATAATAACGTCTTGTCTCTACATTTACAGACTATGGATTCAATTCAATTGGGTTATGTAACATATGTTCTTTTGCATCGAAAAAGCGTAACATTCTCCTTCCATTCGTTTAATCAGGTACTGACTTTAACCTTGTAATAGTGTATATAATGTATCAGAGAAACCATAGGGGTATTGCCGTAATTATTACATAAATTTTACAAAAATTCAAATTCCCTTTAATTTTTAAGATTAAATATTGTCAGGTATCTCCAATCCACAATTCCCCTTTCTTACAATGGCTGTAATATTACAAAGATAAGTGTATTTTAATCAGGCATCCCAGGTTCTCTAATCGTCTGTCATATACACTGTAAATAGTATTGTATTATGGTATCCCCTGTCATTTCCCCATCAATACGTTTACAATAAATTTGGCAGTATTACTTGAATCTGATTAATGCATAAGGCTTAAGGTCGACGGGGGATGCTAGCTCCTCCTAGGCACCTGATCCCACCTCTGAAATGTTCGGGGGTCCGTGTTTTATGCTCTGTTTACAGATTCTTATTTGAGATCGATCACTGTTCACTATCTTCACTTTCTTCATCTACACCAGACACCCCTCCCCATAATCTCTTTCATTACATTGTCTCTTGATATCATAGCTATCTTAACTTTAGTCATATTTCAAATTTTCAAGAAAGAGGTGATATAACAGCTTATGTGGAGATAGATAGGCTAGGTAAGAATATAGTATTTCATCATTCAGAGAGAGAGAGAGAGAGAGAGAGAGAGAGAGAGAGAGATACACATGTCAATAAGAGACATCCTTTCATTAAAATAATTAAATAAAGACAGCTGTGTTAAAATGCATGGTCAGGCACTGATCGATGCTGTAATTCTAAACTTCTCTTTGAAGAAGGCTAGCTTGTATGAATTTCCAATGGACACGACAATTCACTAATGGTCCTACAATGACATTTCTATATACAATCAAAAGCACAATCTCCATTTTTATCCAGATAGTTATCTAAGAATCAGAAATTGTGTTGAAGCAGTTGATAAATCATCCATGTTGTATGCTGATTACATGAACCAGATATACATGTATATTAAAAACAATCATTAAAGAAATTCCAAAATATACAACACGTCCTATGAATATAAAAAAAAAATAAATATCTTAAAAAATCCGAATCCCCCCGCCCTGATATTTGACCAAAAGAGCGTTTCTGTCTATTTCTGGTTGTTATCAATCATTTAATTATTATATCTATATATTTTATGTGACAGAGCCCACTATACATGTATGTGTGTTTTATCATCCGTCTAAAGCAAAAATTGAAACTGACATTATCGAACAACATATCTTTAGTCTTTAATATTTAGTCCTCATCAAGGAAAAATAGAGCAATTAAGTTAATTTGCATTCATCAATCTTTCAGAGATTGAAAAATAAGCAAAGCATTAAATTACTTCTAGGTCAATTAAAAGAATACGTACATGTACATATGAAACAACAGCACGTACCCTCTGTTTCAAAAGATTTTATCATATGTTAACGTCAGGAACATAGTGGGAGGGGGCAGCCCTGCCCCTATACTTCTTCAGAGAATCTTCTCTTTCTGTTAATATACTATGGAATTTTTCATTGAAAGACCAGTTGCCTTCACCCCCCCCCCCCCAACACCGCGCACACCTTTTGTTGCAATACGGTTGAGTCCTCCCACGTTTTCTTCATGTATATTCATTTTAGGGGTGGGGTGGGGGTCCATTTGATAATCATGCAATATATAAGTCTCAAAAAATAATAACGGTTTCCATATTATAGACATGTAGATAGATGAATATATTTGCCCAATATCCAATTTACATGTAATTAACGAACCAAAACATGCCCCCCTCGATTCACAATTCTTTGATCCTCTACCTTTCAGAGATGCTATAAAAGACGCTTTACCCAATTACCAGTAATAAAATATGAAGTTGACAGTAGACAAATATTGACAAACATATCCATTACCAAAATTTTGGCGTCCCACCTCAAGAATTAAGGGCCGTCATTAATGTCAATAAATACAAGGACCAAGGCCTCTCGCCATGTGCCCTTAAATACACCAGATTTAACAACAATTGTACGCAGGCAGGGAGCCGGCTAATTTGTGGGCAGTCTTTCACAATTTGATACTTGTTACATGACCTGGTGTGCAAATACTGACAAGACATCTATTATATACATCTTATCAAGTTATCTACATGTAACAGGTACTCGTAATATATTTAAATGTGTCTACTTTTTTTAATGGGACACACGCAAAACCTTCGGTATATATTACAACGGTTGTCGTTATATCGACGGGGGGGGGGGGGGGGAGGAAGGATGCTGTAAAGTACTAGTTTGCACTGCCTGATTTTCAGGCCATCTGAAGTGTGCGAGAGAGAGAGAGAGAGAGAGAGAGAGAGAGAGAGAGAGAGAGCGAGAGCTAGAGCATTTAAACATCATAAAGAAGATTACATATGCATACTATACTGGTGATCATTCAAAAATGACTTCTCGTATATATGTATACCGTCTATTGGTTTTAGCCTGTTTGCTGTTTTATGTATGCAGTTCTTTACAACCATATACACATGTTACATAATAAGCACTCACACACCTGTATCTCCTGATAATGGACCGACAATATCGTCCTACCTGAGAATTCAAATTCCGTGTGTGCATAAAAGTGTTCTTCTGCTGTCAGTATAAAGAATCCCTAGAAATATGTTCAATGGTATCGTAATGTCGGAATCACTTAAAATCCGGGAGAGAACTGACCAGAATTCAAGTTTTTTTTAAGTTCCTTTCACGTGTTCAACACATTTGTTATTAACTCACAAATCACTCACATGTATTCACTGATTGAGGCAGAAAAAGTTCTGCGTCTATACATTTGAAAAGAATGCACTTCATTTCCTTAATATGCATTCCAATCTCGCAATGTTTGAAGCACCCCCTACTTTCAAGTGCCTCCCTCCATGTTTTCTATGGTAAAAGGCCTATGGTACACACGACGGCGGATTAAATAACTTCCGTTTGCGATTTAAATACCTCTTGGGTTCAGTGCATAACTTGAAAAGTAAATAATAACAAAACCATGAAGATTTCGAATGGGAGAGAGGTGTTACCAATTACGTGGCTTTAAAGGTTCGATCTTGACATACTTTTTTCTTACACCCCTAATTCCCGGAGAGTAGATCATGGCCTACATTAATTTAATAAAAACAATATTGGGAGACCTAAAGCGGAACTGAATCAAGACAGAATGAGTCATATGAATAACATTAAGTGGAGAGAAAATTGCTAATTTGCGTAAAATTATTTTCAAAAAAACGATGCTAATAGGCACTTTAATGAAATGCTTTTTTTCTAATGACGAATTTCATTTCAAAATCATGTTATATATTACCGATAGAAGGATGCAATTCATTGAAATAATTGTGGAACTTAAAATGCTAAATCTTGTGTTTGATATAAAACTTCGTGATATTCAGTTAGAAATCTACACTTATCAGAGTGCGTGAGGTGACCTGCATGCATCCCCCTTTCCAGTGTTGGCTTTCGAGAGGAAAAAAATCCCCAAGACCTTAATTTTTTCCCCATCCATAAGATCGAAGACAGAGCAGTATATATAGTACTATAGCTTGAAAAAACGGTCAGAATATTACAGCTATAAGAATATATGAGCATGATGATATTACACAAATATTTATGTGATAATGGTTTAACGTTGGAAAACTTCCAAACACAAGTCAAATGGATGTTTGTAAAATTTAACAGGTCCAGATAAGATGCATCTGCTCTTCCAAATTAACACTTTGAACTTGATTTTACCGGAAACATGCTTTTAGATTGGTGAGCTCTCTGTTTCTAATCTTCTACATTTTGTTTATGTTTTGTAAAAACTACTCTGGGCTGACTCGATTTTGATAGACTGTGAAGATACATATATATACACTGTACAAATCGTCAAAATAGTCGCCGGCGACAATATGTACGTAACTTCACTGCACCTATTGTCGTCCATCGGTATATACATGTATTGTCACCGTCGACAATATGTACGTAACTTCACTGCACATGTTGTCGTCCATCGGTATATACATGTATTGTCACCGTCGACAATATGTACGTAACTTCACTGCACATGTTGTCGTCCATCGGTACATATTGTCACCGGCGACAATATGTACATGTACATAACTTCACTGCACATGTTGTCGTCCATCGGGGTACATATTGTCACCGGCGACAATATCTACCTAACTTCACTGCACATTTTGTCGTCCATCGGTACATACTGTCACCGGCGACAATATGTGGAGAGAGGAGCCTTTTTTCTCTCCTGCAGAATGGATGACGGAATGTACAGTCACACATCGGCACATATTGTCGTCGGCAAATTGATAAATCAGCCTTTTTTCTAGTTTTATATATATATATATATATATATATATATATATATATATATATATATATATATATATATATATATATATATATATATATATATATATAAAATTTTTTGAGTCCACGGCAATTTATGTAGATGGACGACAATATGTGCAGTAAGGATGGGTGCATTTTGTCGCCGACGACAATATGTACATAACGACAACATGTAACGTCACATAGCCTATCACATGTATCAGTCAAAAGGTGCTTAAAACTCTCAATCTGGTACAAATTGTACATAAATATATCATTACATCTTGACACTACTTTTTTTTTATTCGCTGCAAGTAATAAACACCAGAAAACGAAAATATATAATTTTCCCCAAGAATTTGTGATTGAAGTAACGCCACTTCAAGTTTTCTTACAAAATGGAGGTACGTAACCAAGACATCTGTGCAAGATTACAGAGGATGGTATTCTCTACACGACTCTACTGGAATCATAATTTAGAGATTTTTTAGGCATTTTAAAAATAGCTTAAATATCACAAGGTAATATTAATAATGTGTCTATTTCTACACAAAATTGAAGTTCAGTGCCTATAAGCCTCAATAAAAACCTCAGTAAGCAAAACTTAAAGCTTGGTAAGGTCACTGGAATGACGTAATATTGTTCAAAGACTTCCAAGAGAGAGAGAGAGGCGCTTCAGCTTAATGTAAATTTGAGATATTTCATTAAAAAAGTAAATAACAAATCAATGTGAAAATATTTTAGCTTTATGATAAAAGAGTTATAGAACTTTTATTGGTTAACGAGGTTCGCTCCTGAGCTTTTGAGCAGATTTTTATTTTAACCTATATTTAAAAAAATCTGCGTAATGCTTTAATTCTTACAATAAATTTGGATTCTACAATGCCAAATAAACTATATTCAGTTAAAACTCCATGATTAAATTCCATACCAAAAGCATTAAGTGAGGAACTATATTTTGTGGCGGAAGGTTTTTTTTAGAAGAAAATGATCATTTTTTCTCTCTCGAAGTATTTAAAGTATGTTAAGTTTGGATTCCTATTTTTACATGCAGTCTGCACACAGAATTATTTTGAGCAGTGAACTGTTTTATACTGGTCCTAAATTATATATTTAATAAACTGTCATGAATTCAATCATCATATTTGATAAATAAATCAAATATATTGTGAAAATCAAGAAAAAAAATAGCCCAAATTTAAGCTCAAAATTAGCACTATTTTAGTAATATCTAAAAATTAACATCACAGACCTCCACTTTTAACTTTCTTTTCTGAATATACAAGATACTTTTAACCATTCTTCTTAAATTCAGTAAAATGTCATTACTTTTAAATGAGTTTTTTGCTTGTTAAATTTGTAATGCTAGCAAAATGAAATTTTTTGAGTGCAAAAAGGTCAAATAATTGAACGTGCGGAGTAATTTTTAAAAAAAATTTCGTTGTCAAAAATTTTAATGGGCCTATTCAAGATGAAATAAAACTGTGTTTGTTCCCATAACTTATTTGAATAAAAAATATTGGAGGAAAAACTTTAAAAAATGATTTATGTGTAAGACGTTTTTACAGTGCAAAAAGGTCAAACTAAATGCTCTCTAGCGCCAAAAGAAGCGCATTGACCCCAATTTTTTGTTTTCATTTTTAATTAAGCTATGTGTATAAATTCTAAAAATATACTTGATAAAAAATTCTCATTACTTTTGATGTCAGGATCCAACCTCCTTAAGAATGCTCGCAAGCTCGTGCATTTATTCAACCACCTTGTGCCAATATTCACCAATACAAGTTCAATAACCCTTTACCAGTTTTGTTATATTAATAAGAGATACAAAAACAGTGACTTGTGCTGTCAAATCTACTAAAAAGAAAAGAGATTATGATTTTGATATACAGACTTCACATATTTAACCCCCCCCCCCCCCACACACACACGCCCAGAGAGAAATACGGAGTCTGAGTTAACTCGGTGCTATCCAAGGAAGACAGAAGAGTATGAGTGCCTTCTCCTCCTTTTCAATTAAAGATCATCGGCTTTTCCTGGAAAGTTTCATTCTTAGTTAAAGAATTCCATGAAACTTCTGTCAAATATTTCAACCACTTCTATCTATTGTGTCGCAGGTCTTCCACCATTTTCACCCTACTCAGATACAATGACCTTTTTATATTAATTAAATGTACAGGTATAATCTACAAACCTTTGGTGTACTATAGACACTGTTTTTCCGTCCAGTAAATCTCCCAGATACTTCCTGAAAATGAAGTCTATAGGATCGTTGTTTTATATTAATAAATGTTAAAAAGAAGCACGTGCAAGTTCTTTGATATTTGAGGAGAAAAAAAAATAGTGAATAATACTCTAAAAATATCTCTTTTATTATTTACAAGATAATATAGCGCTTCTTTCTAAAACTCGGTTAATTATGGAGTGTAAACGTACTTTTGCAGTAGGGTTTGGACTAGAACTGAATTAAGATAACGTTGTCGAACAATCGGACATAAAATCCTAACGAATTCTTGACAAATCTTAAAAAATTATCTGTTCTAGACTATGGAATTACGCGATTGCAGAAGTTTGACTGAAGATGCGCTTTGCAATACGCGCTGAGAGAGAGAGAGAGATCGAGAGAGAGAGAGAGATCGGCGATACAATTAATCTACGTACACGTACAATATCTTTTACCATTTTAATCAATAGTAAAAACCATGGCATCGCCATAATATTCCCTCAGAACAATTTTTTTAAAGATAAATAAATGCTATCCTCATTTTTATCGTAATATTCAACTTTTAGCATGCAACATTGAATGCCGCTGCAGTGCTATCGGCCGCAGGTCGACGTCACCGCGTTCCTTTCCCTTCCATCTCAGTCTCCAAGAGAGGGAGATTAACTATAAAATATAATTTTATCATGTTGGCATGTTATTGTAAGATTTCTTTTTCATTCTTTCGTGTCGACTGAGGGAGGCTAGGAAGGCATCACTCGGCGTCAGTTGAGGTTCACTCAGTTAAGTTCGTGCAATATTGATGTTTCTGGCTTAAACAGTACCAATGATCATTCTTATCTTCTTTATCCACTCCCTTTCACTGCATTGAGTAAAAATTCAAACAAACTAATTTACAAAAAGGAAAAAAATCGAGCAAACACCCCCTCACTCACAGCATATATTTTTCTCTCTGATGAATCACCAATCACCCTGATGTAATCCCGACAAAAATTCATTTGGTTTTTCCATTTCCAAATTTTTGGAATGGTCACATTTGAAATCTATTTGATGATTCCATTCAGCTTCTGTCTTCCTAGGCAATGGATATGGAAAGTATCAACTTCTACTGTCACAAAGATACTGAATCAAGTCCGTCATATCTAGAAGTGTCTGTATTAATGCCAGTCTGCCCTCCGTGGACAGAATATTACATTCCTTGCTACATTTCACTGTGACCCCACATCCCTTCTCCACGAAGCCTTGATTCAAATTCTCCATAAAACCTTCATCTGCCTCCAGCGATACCACAGTTATCTGTAAATACATTAATTCAGCTGATGGTCATATATTTAAACTTTAGTATCGATATCTTAAGAAGACTGGGTGGTCAACAAATTTCCCAACAGATCCACATAAAAATAGGAAATACTACTGTTTTAGACATAAACTATTATTTAGAAAAGAAAAAAAACAACTACATGTTCCAGCTATAATTATATTTAATGCTTCTTTCCCATGTCTTTATAGAGAGCTCTTTTTTCAAGAAGGCTAAAAATAGTCTAAAACAGGCCATGACTACTGAGCCCTCTCAAATACAGATTATACCACTGATATTCTGAATGCGAGTCAAAAACTTTGACTTCCTAGTAGAGAAGTTTTGACTTCATTATGTTGTACCCCATGCTCAAGATATCATGGTTGTTCTGTAGCAATTCAAGTCGTATAAAAAGTTCAAAGTGAAATACCAAATATTTATCTATTGATGATAAGTACAATAAATTTTATTGTAAGTTATAATAGATAGCTAGAAGTTAGAACTGTCATAAATCTAACTTTGCATGTTCCAAAAGGATTTGAGATTTACCAAAATCAACAATATACGTTCTTCAATTTTCAAATAACCGTCACGGTGTCCCAGTTGGTAGAGCTCTCGCTCCGTGATCGGAGGGTTGTGTGTTTGAATCAAGGCCGCGACTGACCTAAGTCGATAAAAAATAGGTAGCAACTGTTCCTTCGCCGAGCGCTCGACACTTTGAAGTGAAATTTGTGGGTCCTTCGGATGAGACATTAAAACCGAGGTAGGCGTTGGCACGATAAAGAACCCTCAGTGCTCACTGGCCCTACAATCAATCAATCAACTTTCAAGTACATCTCCCTTTTGAAAATATGCATATCGTGCAAAGCACTGCTCAAACCATTGGCTGAAAAACAATAAAAGTCTCTCCCACATTTTGCATATGTGAGAAATGAGCCTACAAAGGTACTGATAAACTTACTTGTGATTAATGAATGAAATATAATATTGTTTTCCTGAATGTGCATTTATTTAAATCTTACTTTAGTTCCTTTCACCAAGAAACCATAAATCCCATTGGAACCAAAAACAGAGGTAGGAAGAACAGCTATCATATCACCAATCAGCTGACACAGGGGTCGGGATGTAACTGAGTCTGTCTTCAGCTTCTTTGGCCTGCTCCCCATTTCTCCCTCCTCATGACCTACTTTCTCTCCTCCAGAGTCTTTATTTACCTATCAGAAGAAATAAAACCAGTGACATTCAAACTCTCCTCTTTTTTGGAACGCACTGATTTACTAGTCGTTAAATAAATTGTATGAAAAAATTAAGGCTCACACAAGGGATTATGTCTAACAGTGAAGTTATGAATATAATTCTAAACAAGAGGCCTATGGGCCACAATGCTCACCTAAGTCACCTAGGCCTTGCTGTTCTTTAGAACAGTGGCCCCACCCTTATCCTGTGGAACATGATTTGAACAAACTTAAGACTACACTAACTAAGGATGCTTGCATTTTAATATGAATAATCATGACCATGCTTTTCTTTACAAGAGTTTTTTTTTCAATTTTTTTTCTTTGATCCTCTATTGTGCCTAGATTCTACCCCCTGGGGTCATGGTCTGAAGCAAAAAAAAAAATGAATCTACATTACCTGAGGATGTTTGAATAACAGTATAACTAATCATTTGCCTATTGTTCTTGAGAAGAAAATATTTCCTTTTACATTCCCAGTTTAATCTCTGATCTCCAATGTAGGCCTACCTTACCCTCAGGGGCCATGATTGAAGAAACTCAAATCTACACAATTTGGGAATACTTAAGAAATGAATTTAATTTTTGAAGATTCATGAGGACATGAACTACGACGCTTCACGCCGGCATATTTCATGAAGCGCGTTAGCGCTTCATGATAAATATGCCAGCGTGAAGCGTTGTAGTTCATGTACCTCATGAATCTTCAAAAATTAAATTCATTTCTTATATTTACATTATTTTTCTGATGAATTACCACAAATTTCACCATTCAACTGTCATTTTTAAAGCAAAACAGTTTGCACTATAGTTTTGACGTCAAGTACGGCATTATGACGTAACAATTGAGATATTCATGCTCATCCATGGTAGTTCATGAGAAAATGAACAGCATTCTAATTTGCAAAGAATATTAAGAAAAAATATTTGGAAATGTAAATATTTGTGTATCAATATAACTAACTGTTCTCTACAAGAAGTATATTTAAAGATTTTTTCCTATATATTCCCAGTAAAATTTTGATCCCCTATTGTGGCACTGCCCTACCCCTGGGGTCATCCTGGGTATGCTTCTATATTAATATGACTAATAATGGCTTAGCTATTCTTGAGAAGAAGATTTTAAAAAGATTTTTCCTATATATTCCTTTGATAAACTTTGACCCCCTAGCTATTATATCTTCTCCAGAATTCTGAAGAAGAACTCAAATCAAAAATGTGAAAAGTTTACAGATGAACACCAGACAAATTGTGACCAGAAATGCTCACTTGAGCTTTAGCTCAGGTGACCTAAAATATGTTTATTTGATTTTTACAAAGACTATCCAAAAGTAGTCTATATTTCAGAAAACTTTTAGAAAGGTAAAATGTAAGGCATGTAGTATTGTCCAGATTTTGATGCAGATATTAGCTAAATTTATATAGAGTGGAATCATCATTGTTTGTGGGGGACTAATGCTTTTGGATTTCTAGGGTCACACTTCACACTAACCCATGAATATACATCCCCACATAAATAACTTTGTCAATCATGTATATGTTCATTGAATCTTCTGTATGTAAAATTACCAACAAAATCAAGTCCCAAACAACCAGACAAATTCTTATGAACCATGTGAAACACTGACTCCCAGGAATTGAAATGATTTCACAGTACTCATCAATTCTAGGTCAAAAATACATAAGTAAAATGTTTACAGCATCATATCCTCTACAATTTTACCTTTATAACTGCAATAGAGTTGTCATTTTCTAGATCTTTACAAGAAGAGGATTGCACTACAGCATCAGGAGTTAGAGGTAGTCTGTTTGGTCCAACGGGAATAATAAAAGAGTGCATGTTTGAATTCTCACTGAGACAAAAAGAAATAAATACATTTTACTGCACATGTACCACTTTAAGTTTCATTCAAAAGATGTGCAAAATTCTCATACAACAGTGTGTTTCTTTTGTTTAGAATCATTTAATTAGAAATTCTGTTGGTGTTTAAAAATTATCATGATAACATTCATTTACAACAGAAAAGAGAAAATTTATGGCTGAATTGGGAATTCTATTACTAGTAAGGTGCTGCGCCACCCAGGTTTACATCAATATAGCCCAAACCACTACAGATCTCAGGCAGAGTTCTATCGTCTTTTTTTGTCTGATTTTTGTCTTTATCATCATGATAAAAAAATCTGCTGTCTTACAGTACCCCCAAAAAGTTTCAGTATTTGGGAATATCATTAGTAACCAGCAGAGTAAAAGTTCATAACTTAGTTGTACTTACATTATTTGTGTCTCAAATATTTTCATGAATCTGAGAAAAAGTTCTTTATACATTCCATCTGTGATTTCTTCAGGTGTGCCTTTCTTTCTTTTTCTAACCATTATGGACAACTGCTGTACAAATTGTGTCAGCCATACCCGAAGACTTTACATGAAAGAAATGACAGATTCAGACTCAAAATACATGTCATATGATGTAACAATTATATTTAGTTCACAAGTGCACTTCATCTACTTAACCAAAGCAGACCAATGTGTCTTACTACCACATAGCAGTCAAAACAGCACAGTCAAGGACAGTTTAACAAAATACAAGAGGCCCATGGGCCACAACGCTCACCTGAGTCAATATGGCCCTGCTGTTCTTTGTCAGCAGATTTCTTCTTCTATATATTCATACGTAAAGCTTTGATCAACTGTTCTAGGCATAACCTATCCCCATTTGCCATGTTTTGAATGAAATTGAATCTAAACTTTCTGAGTATGCTTCTGTATTCATATAACTAATCATGGTTTTGCTGTTCTTGAAACGGAATTTTAAAGATGTCTGCCATCCTACCCTGGGGGGAAGGAAGGGGGGGGGGGGGTTCAAGATTTGAACAAACTTGAATATACACTACCTAAGGATGCTTCCATATCAATATGACTAATTATGGCTTTGTTGTTCTTGAGAAGAAGATTTTTTAAGATATTTCTTATATATATTCTTTTGTTAAACTTTGATCCCCGATTATGGCCCCACCCTACTACTGGAGGATGCCTTGAACAAACTTGAATCTACAATACTTGGGGATGCTTCAATATCAAAATGACTAATCACGGCTTTCCTGTTCTTGAAAAGATTTTAAAAGATTTTTCCTATTTATTCCTATGTAAAACTTTGATCCCCCATTGTGGACCCACCCTACCCCCCGGGGTCTTGATTTCGACAAATTTGAATCTACACTACCTAAGGATGATTCCATATCAATATGACTAATTGTGGCTTTGTTGTTCTTGAGAAGAAAATTTTTAAAGAATTTTCCTATGTATTCCTATGTAAAACTTTGATCCCCCATTGTGGCTCCACCCTACCCCCGGGGGTCATGATTTGAACAAACTTGAATCTACGTTACCTGAGGATGATTTCATATCAAAATGACTAATTGTGACTTTGTTGTTCTTGAGAAAAAGATTTTTAAAGAATATTCCTATATATTCCTATGTAAAACTTTGATCCCCTATTGTGGCCCCACCCTACCCCCCGGGGTCATGATTTGAACAAACTTGAATCTACATTACCTGAGGATAATTCCATATCAAAATGACTAATTGTGGCTTTGTTGTTCTTGAGAAAAAGATTTTTAAAGAATTTTCCTATATATTCCTATGTAAAACTTTGATCCCCTATTGTGGCCCCACCCCACCCCCGGGGGTCATGATTTGAACAAACTTAAATCTACACTACCTGAGGATGATTTCATATCAATATGACTAATTGTGGCTTTGTTGTTCTTGAGAAGAAGATTTTTAAAGAATTTTCCTATGTATTCCTATGTAAAACTTTGATCCCCCATTGTGGACCCACCCTACCCCCGGGGGTCATGATTTGAACAAACTTAAATCTACACTACCTGAGGATGATTTCATATCAATATGACAAATCATGGCTTTGTTGTTCTTGAGAAAAAGATTTTTAAAGAATTTTCCTATATATTCCTATGTAAAACTTTGATCCCCCATTGTGGCCCCACCCTACCCCCGGGGGTCATGATTTGAACAAACTTAAATCTACATTACCTGAGGATGATTTCATATCAATATGACTAATTGTGGCTTTGTTGTTCTTGAGAAGAAGATTTTTAAAGAATATTCCTATATATTCCTATGTAAAACTTTGATCCCCCATTGTGGCCCCACCCTACCCCCGGGGGTCATGATTTGAACAAACTTAAATCTACACTACCTGAGGATGATTTCATATCAATATGACAAATCATGGCTTTGCTGTTCTTGAGAAGAAGATTTTTAAAGAATTTTCCTATGTATTCCTATGTAAAACTTTGATCCCCCATTGTGGACCCACCCTACCCCCGGGGGTCATGATTTGAACAAACTTAAATCTACACTACCTGAGGATGATTTCATATCAATATGACAAATCATGGCTTTGTTGTTCTTGAGAAGAAGATTTTTTAAGATATTTCTTATATATATTCTTTTGTTAAACTTTGATCCCCGATTATGGCCCCACCCTACTACTGGAGGATGCCTTGAACAAACTTGAATCTACAATACTTGGGGATGCTTCAATATCAAAATGACTAATCACGGCTTTCCTGTTCTTGAAAAGATTTTAAAAGATTTTTCCTATTTATTCCTATGTAAAACTTTGATCCCCCATTGTGGACCCACCCTACCCCCCGGGGTCTTGATTTCGACAAATTTGAATCTACACTACCTAAGGATGATTCCATATCAATATGACTAATTGTGGCTTTGTTGTTCTTGAGAAGAAAATTTTTAAAGAATTTTCCTATATATTCCTATGTAAAACTTTGATCCCCCATTGTGGCTCCACCCTACCCCCGGGGGTCATGATTTGAACAAACTTGAATCTACGTTACCTGAGGATGATTTCATATCAAAATGACTAATTGTGACTTTGTTGTTCTTGAGAAAAAGATTTTTAAAGAATATTCCTATATATTCCTATGTAAAACTTTGATCCCCTATTGTGGCCCCACCCTACCCCCCGGGGTCATGATTTGAACAAACTTGAATCTACATTACCTGAGGATAATTCCATATCAAAATGACTAATTGTGGCTTTGTTGTTCTTGAGAAAAAGATTTTTAAAGAATTTTCCTATATATTCCTATGTAAAACTTTGATCCCCTATTGTGGCCCCACCCCACCCCCGGGGGTCATGATTTGAACAAACTTAAATCTACACTACCTGAGGATGATTTCATATCAATATGACTAATTGTGGCTTTGTTGTTCTTGAGAAGAAGATTTTTAAAGAATTTTCCTATGTATTCCTATGTAAAACTTTGATCCCCCATTGTGGACCCACCCTACCCCCGGGGGTCATGATTTGAACAAACTTAAATCTACACTACCTGAGGATGATTTCATATCAATATGACAAATCATGGCTTTGTTGTTCTTGAGAAAAAGATTTTTAAAGAATTTTCCTATATATTCCTATGTAAAACTTTGATCCCCCATTGTGGCCCCACCCTACCCCCGGGGGTCATGATTTGAACAAACTTGAATTTACATTACCTGAGGATGATTTCATATCAATATGACTAATTGTGGCTTTGTTGTTCTTGAGAAGAAGATTTTTAAAGAATATTCCTATATATTCCTATGTAAAACTTTGATCCCCCATTGTGGCCCCACCCTTCCCCCGGGGGTCATGATTTGAACAAACTTAAATCTACACTACCTGAGGATGATTTCATATCAATATGACAAATCATGGCTTTGCTGTTCTTGAGAAGAAGATTTTTAAAGAATTTTCTTATATATTCCTATGTAAAACTTTGATCCCCCATTGTGGCTCCACCCTACCCCCGGGGGTCATGATTTGAACAAACTTGAATCTACATTACCTGAGGATGATTTCATATCAATATGACTAATTGTGGCTTTGTTGTTCTTGAGAAGAAGATTTTTAAAGAATTTTCCTATGTATTCCTATGTAAAACTTTGATCCCCCATTGTGGACCCACCCTACCCCCGGGGGTCATGATTTGAACAAATTTAAATCTACACTACCTGAGGATGATTTCATATCAATATGACTAATTGTGGCTTTGTTGTTCTTGAGAAGAAGATTTTTAAAGAATTTTCCTATATATTCCTATGTAAAACTTTGATCCCCCATTGTGCCCCCACCCCACCCACGGGGGTCATGATTTGAACAAACTTGAATCTACACTATGTAATGAAGGTTTCCCATAAGTTTCAACTTCTCTGGCCCAATGGTTCTTGAGAAGAAGATTTTTAAAAAAAGACACCAAATTTTCACTTATTCTTAATTATCTCCCCTTGGAAGAGGGCATGGCCCTTCATTTGAACAAACTTGAACCCCCTTCTTCCAAGGATGCTTTGTGGCAAGTTTGGTTGAAAATGGCCCAGTGTTTCTGGAGAAGAAGTCGAAAATGTGAAAAGTTTACAGACAGACGGACGGACGGACGGACGGACAGACGGACAGACGGACTACGGACAAAATGTGATCAGAAAAGCTCACTTGAGCTTTCAGCTCAGGTGAGCTAAAAACCAGCTGTTATTGTGTTTGTGCTGTGTGTCAGACTGTCATTGTGGTTGTGTTGTGTGTCAAACTGTCACTGTGGTTGTATTCCGTGTGTCAGACTGTCATTGTGGTTTTGCTCTGTGTCAGACTGTCATTGTGGTTGTGTTGTGTTTCAGACTGTCATTGTGGGTGTGCTCTGTGTCAGACTGTCATTGTGGTTGTGTTTGTTTTAGACTGTCATTGTGGTTGTGTTGTGTGTAAGACTGTCATTGTGGGTGTGCTCTGTGTCAGACTGTCATTGTGGTTGTGTTGTGTGTCAGACTGTCAGTGTGTTTGTGTTGTGTGTCAGACTGTCATTGTGGTTGTGTTGTGTGTCAGACTGTCATTGTGGTTGTGTTGTGTGTCAGACTGTCATTGTGGTTGTGTTGTGTGTCAGACTGTCTTTGTGGTTGTGCTGTGTGTCATACTGTAATTGTGGTTGTGCTGTGTGTCAGACTGTCATTGTGGTTGTGTTGTGTGTCAGACTGTCATTGTGGTTGTGCTCTGTGTCAGACTGTCATTGTGGTTGTGTTCTGTGTCAGACTGTCATTGTGGTTGTGCTGTGTGTCAGACTGACATTTTGGTTGTGTTCTGTGTCAGACTGTCTTTGTGATTGTGTTCTGTGTCAGATTGTCATTGTGATTGTGTTCTGTGTCAGACTGTCATTGTGGTTGTGTTGTGTGTCACACTGTCATTGTGGTTGTGTTGTGTATCAGACTGACATTGTGGTTTTGTTCTGTGTCAGACTGTCATTGTGGTTTTGTTGTGTTAGACTGTCATTGTGGTTGTGTTGTGTATCAGACTGACATTGTGGTTGTGTTGTGTATCAGACTGACATTGTGGTTGTGTTGTGTGTCAGACTGTCATTGTGGTTGTGTTGTGTGTCAGACTGTCATTGTGGTTGTGTTGTGTGTCAAACTGTCATTGTGGTTTTGTTTTGTTAGACTGTCATTGTGGTTGTGTTGTGTGTCAGACTGTCATTGTGGTTGTGCTGTGTGTCAGACTGTCATTGTGGTTGTGTTGTGTATCAGACTGACATTTATGGTTGTGTTCTGTGTCAGACTGTCATTGTGCTTGTGTTGTGTGTCAGACTGTCATTGTGGTTGTGTTGTGTGTCAGACTGTCATTGTGGTTGTGTTGTGTGTCAGACTGTCATTGTGGTTGTGTTGTGTCAGACTGTCATTGTGGTTGTGTTGTGTCAGACTGTCATTGTGGTTCTGCTGTGTGTCAAACTGTCATTGTGGTTTTGTTGTGTTAGACTGTCATTGTGGTTGTGTTGTGTGTCAGACTGTCATTGTGGTTGTGTTGTGTGTCAGACTGTCATTGTGGTTGTGTTGTGTCAGACTGTCATTGTGGTTGTGTTGTGTCAGACTGTCATTGTGGTTCTGCTGTGTGTCAAACTGTCATTGTGGTTTTGTTGTGTTAGACTGTCATTGTGGTTGTGTTGTGTGTCAGACTGTCATTGTGGTTGTGCTGTGTGTCAGACTGTCATTGTGGTTGTGTTGTGTATCAGACTGACATTTATGGTTGTGTTCTGTGTCAGACTGTCATTGTGCTTGTGCTCTGCGTCAGACTGTCATTGTGGTTGTGTTGTGTGTCAAACTGTCACTGTGGTTGTATTCTGTGTGTCAGACTGTCATTGTGGTTTTGCTCTGTGTCAGACTGTCATTGTGGTTGTGTTCTGTGTAAGACTGTCATTGTGGTTGTGCTGTGTGTCAGACTGACATTTTGGTTGTGTTGTGTGTCAGACTGTCACTGTGGTTGTGTTGTGTGTCAGACTGTCATTGTGGTTGTGTTGCGTGTCAGACTGTCATTGTGGTTTTGTTGTGTTAGACTGTCATTGTGGTTATGTTGTGTATCAGACTGACATTGTGGTTGTGTTGTGTGTCAGACTGTCATTGTGGTTGTGTTGTGTGTCACACTGTCATTGTGGTTGTGTTGTGTATCAGACTGACATTGTGGTTTTGTTCTGTGTCAGACTGTCATTGTGGTTTTGTTGTGTTAGACTGTCATTGTGGTTGTGTTGTGTATCAGACTGACATTGTGGTTGTGTTGTGTATCAGACTGACATTGTGGTTGTGTTGTGTGTCAGACTGTCATTGTGGTTGTGTTGTGTGTCAGACTGTCATTGTGGTTGTGTTGTGTGTCAGACTGTCATTGTGGATGTTCTGTGTCAGACTGTCATTGTGGTTGAGTTCTGTGTCAGACTGTCATTGTGGTTGTATTCTGTGTGTCAGACTGTCATTGTGCTTGTGCTCTGTGTCAGACTGTCATTGTGGTTTTGCTAGCTCTTTGTCAGATTGTGGTACTTGTTATTTGTTTCTGTTTTATTTAGTGGGCTTTTAAAAGAATGCACCACTGATATTCTCAACATATATAAATACCTATAAGCGAAATTTGTGAAATCCTCATGTTGATTACTTCCTAAAAGTTTCGCCGGGCATGCGTTTAGCTGCAATATACTTTCTATTTTACCAATTTTAAATGCAGGTACTTCATCGATCGATACACAGTCTATACAAAGGACATCCGTTAATGCTCGAGTTAAACACTGGCTCCGAAAAACACGCTGTTTTTCATTACGGGACATTTGACCAATAAATCCACTTATCTTTTCATCATGTTTTTGTTTTATGAAAATCTTTACATAACCGCTGATGAACAGATCATGCGGCTCATGAACAGTTTGGTCAACTTTGATGTTTAACTGAGACAACACTTCTCCTGTCCATTCTTTTGTCCTCCATGGAATTTTTTCAAAATTTATCGGTGCCGCAGATATCTTGCTCGCCATCTTTTTCTACTTTCAATTTCCCAAAAGCGGAGACAAGTGGTTACGCCCTGGTACGTTTTAAGTCCGAGTGTTTAGGGTCCAAATGATAAAGAAGCGTCGCAAATTATCGGTGCTTGGGGATATTACTATTCACTTTCGTTTAAGAGATATATGCTAGAGGGTCTGTGACAATAATTATAATCACCAGTGACAATATTATAGTGTTTCCAGAATCATTGGGATTTTTTAATACAAAATATTTAGCTTGAATATTTTTTTCACCAATGGACAATACTTGTTACTTTCTTTGTTATGAAAATAAATTATCGTTTACTCTGTATACTTTGTCGATTACAAGTGTTGAAAGTGAGTGCTTTTCAAAACAGAAAGCTTATTGTAGATCTGTATTTTACAAATGTACTTAAAAATACTACATGTACCAATGTACATTAATGTACTAAATAGAATTACCCTTCACTGTAATGTCTACTGCAGTTTGTTACGAAGTATCTGTAATTATACATTATGTTAATGTTTATAGCCATTTGGGCCCTGTTTTGGTTATAAATGCTATTCTATTCTTAGTGTTGCTGTTACTGAGAAAATATCCGAGCTTTCTTAAGCTTTGATCTGTAATTGTTAATTTACTTAGCATACCATCTCTTTTCCTTAGCTGAATTCATCTTCTTTTTCAATGATTTGTACAACACAATCCAAAGAAGACAGCGAAATACTCAGTGCTTCAGAAATATCACAAGATTTAACAATTCCTTAGGCCAACTTTAAAATAATGTCTGTTTGCCCTCTCTTGACTCAGTAAGAAAAAAAGGGTAGGTAGGTATAGGTGGGAAATGTTTTCCCCCAGAAAATTTCAACACCAATGCAAAATTTTCAAAATCTTTTTTTTTTCCTGAATGCATAAAAAAATATAATTGTTTCATGTAGCTGAGGTTAAAAAAGTTTTGAGTCGGGCCATTTTTAGCCATTCGGTCGGGAGAGGGCAACTGAACATTTTTTCTTAAAGATGGCCTTATTAATACATACATCTTGTACATGTATATGCTTTCAGTTGACAAAAGCAGTAATTTTGAGTAACAGCACACAGCAGGAAGTATATATATAAAATAAACGGGAGGTTTGTCATGAAAATTGCATGTATCATAATAAAGTATAGGGGGGTATATATTGTAATAGATAAAATACTATAACATTATTATATGTAATTAATCCAATATTTTAGATAAAAGTATTTATTAACAAACCAATTTATTTAATATATACTTACAGTGTACCATCTTTGCTTACATATTGACACCGGTCGGTGACAATGTGCCGAGATCTTTTTGTCGTTGTCTTTGATTGAAATAAATGTGTTATTGCGCGCATTAATATAAGAATAATTTCACTAAATTCTATGGAATTGTAACTAGAAAAAAATATTCCATATCCTAGGATAGACTTGTGTGACTGATTGGGAAAACTGCTCTGATCTGGTCCCGGTTTTTTTAAAATATCTTCTATTGAACAACATTGGTATACATGTATATTTATTTGTTTGTCAAATGCATATTTATGAAAGTGCACTAATGTGTAGTGTAAATTTAATTTCACATTTGAATCCAGGTACCGACATGACTTGTGGGGTTCCCCAATAGAGATAGAAAGTCTAAAGTGATGATTATGTATTATAAAGTACATGTAATATCGTTTAAGATCTTTTCGGTCCATTTGGGTTCCATTTGCGTGCGTTTTACATACGGTAGGTCAACACAGAAAAACTATCGGTATACACCAACATTTAAAGAACAAGGATACATTTTGTCAAATCAATACAGAAACATCCCCATATAATGTAGATTGAAATTTTCAATTGATCAGTAAATGTAGCAAATGTAGTATATTCAATTACAATTAAATCAAACCATGACCCGGTGATCAAGGTGTGTCGATATAGGAGGTTTTGATGAGCAAAACAGCACAGTCATCTCTGTACGGCCTATTTATACTTATAGCTCGATTGGGCACATACATTACCTGTAATAGACCTATGACATGATGAGCCAAAATGTAATCTTTATATTTTAAAGACACCACTGAATCTGACACGTCTGTTTCATAATTGGATCTTTTACTAGAGAATAACATTATTGGCAATCTAACAAGTAAACTTTATGATAAATAAGATGACTTCAACTTTTCGTTTGTCAACTTTCCTTGTTTATGTATACAGCAATAGACCAGTAATTTCCCCAAATGGGGTTTTTGATTCGGTACGCTAGAGCACGTTCTGCGTACAAACAGTTTCTAAAACGAGAAGGGCTACTGATAAATAAGTTGATAATACAACGATTCAACAATCTCATTAAATTTAAGTCAATATTTTGCAAATTCTATGGTCAATACTACATTATGACCTTGTTTGCATATACAATCTGTAGTTAGGTCGAATGTTGACTGACGTCTTCCATACATTTGTGAGGCCATTATATTCATACGCAATTGTTTACGAATTTCTTCGTTTACCTGATCATGACTGACAAGGGACACACGGCGGGTGTAACCGGTCGGCAGATGACGTTTACCTGATCCCACATCTGAAGTTTTCAGAGGTCCGTATTTGCTTTGTCCATGATTTTTGGTATTGTTTAATTAATTGGATCTTTGAGCATGATGTTTGTCATATCTTCACATTTCATTAGAAGCAGGCCAGTAGAACGCCCGGGGGCCGGGGGGGGGGGGCTGTCCACCTAATTTTTTTCTGACTATAATCAGACTGTAGTTTTAACACTGAATTTTTCATTTAGATGCTGCTTGTTCCCCCATCCCTACCCCCGCCCACTCTTTGTTGCTGTAAGGTCATACAATGGCAAATTCCAGGGTTTGAGAAAAAGAAAATTTACCAAAGGTTACAGAAAAGTCGAACTTTGTCTTCATGTACGCAAATTTTAAGGGTGATGTCCATTTTTCTACGTAAAAAAATGATCAAGGGATATGGACACCGAAAAATATTCGATGGAATTCATTCGTCTTTATACCGGCAACAAGATGTAAACATATTTTTTGAAGAAAAAAAAATTGAGTCGGCGACTATATTTGCAGATGTACAACAATGTGTAGAGTTAGGTTAGATACAAATTGTCGCCGACGACAAAATGTACAGGACGACAAGTACCTTCACAGTCCTTTTTCCCCCTGCCGAATGGACGACAAAATATGTATCTTACATATTGGAACGATGAAAGATGAGAGTAGGTGTATAATGTCGATGACAATATTTACAGGAAAAATAACACCATCTCAGGTCCTCTTAACTACATTGTGGAAAGCATATATCAACAGTTCGAACTTGATTCCTATAAATCTAAAGGGGACTTTGTTTCTAAAATGTGACAGATAGACGGGCAGACCGAGTATACTTTTCGCTCGTTGTGATTTGGTATGGTGTCATCACCAGTCCTAAAAATAAGATAAGGGGTAGTACATATAGACACTGCAGGGATTTATCAGTACCTTCTCAGGGGCCGAAATTCGGCCCCATTCCCAATTGAAAATGAGCTCAGTTTTTCCCAATTTGGCAGTATTTTTTCCCAATTGGTGAACAATGCTTTTATATTTAATTTTCTTGGAAAAACACAGAGAAAAATTGTCAGATTGTCTGTAATTTTCATCTGTTTAAGTCATTTAGTAAAGCTACAGTCATAACAACATCGCCAACTTTTAATCCGAATTTCCTCCGTTTTTCTTAAAATGGTGATATTGTGTAATTGTATAGATTTATTAAGTTATTTCCACCTACTCAAATGATCTGCGAGTGAATGGTAAGGACTCTAGGCATTATTTCAGATAGAAAAATATATTTTCAATGTTTTAATACATATTAAAAGAGGACTAATTGAGAAAGGGTGTACTTTAGTATAATTTTTTGCAGGAGGTTTGTATTTTCCAGAAACAGATTCTATAATGACCTTAATTGAAATCTCATACACACATGTACTACCCTAAGTTGTATAAATACTTTTTACCCATTGAAGTCAATTTTACTTTTATTAGTCTATTATTTATAATTGAGCTTGTATGATGAAGTTGGATCATATTTAATTGCCTGTTTGAATGCCCAAATTAGAGTTCATGCTGAAATGTTAAATGAATTACACTTCAATACATGATTTAAGCAACATTTTTAATTTTTCCCAATTTCATCAAATAGCCGATAATTTTTTCCCAATTCCCCAAAAATGGCGTTTCCCAAAATAGGGTGATAAATCCCTGCACTGTCTAGCAGATTGTTGTACCAAATACTGTCTAGCAGATTTTTACTCAAGTCCTCATTGGATCGAGCTAAGGGCCTGAGTTTTTGAAAATGATGCAACATACGTCATTTATCAGTGTTTATATACATTTTTTTAATAACATGAAAGATATTCAATGTGTAGATAACGTTTCTTAATGAAACAAAATAAATTTATATCAGATGAAAATGTATGACTACGTAAATTCCTGCATCAGAATACTGATCTTTGTATTTGTATATTGCTAGATGTATAATTCTTAATGACAAAAGAATAAAAAATGATGAAAAGTACTCTAAACAGCCACGTAGGCGCAGAGGAAAATTACGGCTGTCCGTCTCCAACTGACTAACAAATAAGTTTGAGTAAAACAAATTAAACACAAAGAAGAAATTAAGTGTCACATAGAGATAAGATAAAAGTGTGACATTCTAAAGATGGACAATTAAATCAACATGTCAGATAAACAGCATTGTTATAAAAATCACCCATAAATCCTTGTCGTGGTCAAGGTGTGAAAATTACCTAATGGAATATCCTCTGTTTAACGCCAATCGATAATTCGATTTTTCAAAATGGTTTTCGTGGAATGTTAGATATTTTGCTAAACAAAGGATCATGCAGAATCTTTCATAAAAATTATCACAAATAGCAGCAAGAATAACTAAGTAACAAAACAGTAATTAAAATGAATGTGAACATTTAAAATCTTGTAATTTTTCATCACGACAT